AAAAGAAGTCTTATTTGATTCTCATAGTAGACTTGGGAAAAGGAAATTGTCATTCATCAGCAATCAAACACACTTTGGCTCTGAAGAGCCACGCTTTTTCCAGGTTACTCTGCCACCTTCTTATTTAAAGCAAATATGGGGAAACCAGGCATGGTGACACACACCTGTAATGCCAGTACTCAGGAAGCTGAGACAGGAGGATCATTGTGAGTTCGAAATGAGCCTGGGCTACAAAGTCAGCTCAAGGTCAGCCTGAACTACATAGTGAGATCCCGTCTCCAAAAATATTTTTTTAAATATAAAACAGATACAGGTAAACTGAAACTATTAGCAAAAATAAGCCGAGACTTGAAAGAATTATCACCATGAGAAATGATTATTTGAATCAGTAATGTTCGACCTGAGGGAGTTTGAAGGGACCCTAAATGAGTCAGTCCTGTGCACTGTGGACAGAGCCCCGTTCAGCTCTTCTGAAATATCCTCATCCGAACACAGGCATCTTCTTGCTCCTGAAGAAAAGCCAAGTGCTATATACTGAAAATTATAGAGACAGGCTTTTTTGTTTTTTTTGTCTTTTTGAAACAGGGTCTCCCTATGCAGTTCAGGCTGGCCTTGAGCTCACTTTGTAGCCCAAGCTGGTCGCGAACTAGCAACGATCCTCCTGCCTCAGCCTCTCGAGTGCTGGGATTACAGGCGTGAGCCACCACGCCCAGCTATAGAGACAGGTTTTAATCTCAGTAAAAAGAGAAGTTCTCCGGAGTGGCCTAGCAGGTAATGTTTCCTTGCCCCTGTACTTTTTCAAGTAACAGGCCAACTAAGGACAACTAAGAACCGACGGCAAGATGTTACTGGATGTGTCGGTGTTGAAAATACAAGTAGACGCAATAGCTCACTGTAATTGATAATAATTACAGCAGTAATAAGGGCTATTAAGAAATTGAACTGATTCTGTTTTAATTTGATTTTATTATTTACTACTGTAGACAAATCAGGAAGGAATTAAAAAATAACATTCCCCTTCCCCTTGGGAATTTGCCAAGACATTGAGCTTCTAGGAGTTAGGGATAAAGGCATTTCATGTGGGAAAGGTACAGTTGGGCTCTTAATTTTGTGTAGGGCTCAAAGAGGGAAAGCAGGTAGACTTCTAGAGATCTGGAAAAGCAAGAATTTATTGTTCCTTGGAGAGAGGAAGCTGAGTCTGCTCCCAACAGCCCTTCTGGCTGGCAGAATCTTGAAAGGCCTGGCTCCTGGGAAGCTGGAGGATTCCCTAAATTTGCAGATGAACTGGAGTCACTGCAGAGCCGTCCTCACGGGAGGACTCCTGCCCCCACATCCCTCTCCTCCTGTTGTCTCCCAGCAGCTGCCCAGCCCACTTCCATAGACCTAGGTAGGAAGCATCAGCTGAAACACTGGCACCCAACAGTGACACCACGTGGTCATAAGGAGCAATAGCAACAGATTTGAAAATGCTGCAGGCGGAGATGGGACGAGTCTCTGGGTACCACAGAACCATCTAGGGAATGGGAAGATAACGGATACAACTGATGCTAGGTTTCCTATTGATAATGGCAGGTGGGAGCTTAAACCCTTCTAACTGAATTCATGAAAATTAAAAATATAACACTACTTGAACTCAAGCTCCGAGGAGTAATTCATACCTGTAGCTCTGATCCCATTATCAATCACTAATACGGTCACCTAAAGTACATATCTCCCAACTCATTAACTGAACCTTATACTGTTTTCTTTTCCTGAGGTCCCATCATCAAAAGACACTTCTAGTTCTTATGTTTACTTGTTTTTACCTGGTTTGTATGTTTACCTACCTCCTCCAGTAAAATTTAACTTCATGACAGCAGGGATCTTGTCTTCTCTATGTGCCACTGTATTGTCAGCTTTTAAAACACACTGGCTTTTGTTTCTCATTTTTCTAGTAATATGTTTTGTTTTATTGTGTTGTGTTGTGTTTTTCTCTCTAATGCAGAAAAGATAGGTATACATATAGAGGCTTATACATGCCCAGAACTTCTCCTAAACAGTTTACAAGAATCAATTGTATTATGCATGATGAAATGAACAACTACTTTGATGAAAAAGAGACATGGTATTCATTGCTGATTCTATATCATCATGCTGTGAAATCCAGCAATGCATTTATTCTTTGTTCAGAGTGGTTTTGTCCATTTTGTATTATGTAATTTCAACAAACATGCAGGTATGGACAGTTATTTTGAAGAGAACAAGGGACATTACTGTAGCCATTGTTGATTTTCCTATTGTCTGCTTTTGAAAGCCTGTAATGCCTTCCTTACTCTACTGTGATCAGTTTTATACTATTTTGTTTTGTATGAGTCATTATGTGTAAAGCTACAGACAACTATTTAGAAGAAAACAAGAGACATTATGGTAGCCTCTGTTGATCTCCTGTTGTCTTGCTTTGAAATCTTGTGTTGATTGCATTGTTTTCTTCTGATCTTCTTTGTTCTTTTTAGTTATGTTTTGTTTTACCCTTTAAAATAAAAATATTAAAACACACTGGAATACACTAAAAGCTCAATAAATTTCATGCATGAGTGGAAAATGAATCATATATCAGAAATTTATAGTACAAAAACTATGTTCCAGATTCTTGCTAGGTACTTCACTTACGTCACTAGTTACTTAATTTTTAAAATAGCCCAAAAGAGACTGACTCTAATAGATAAAACCATCCTATTTTATAGATGAACAAACTGAGGACACAAACTATTAGCTACTGAGTTCTGCTTTCCCTCACCATCCCTATTTTCTACCTCGCTATTTAGCTTTATCCACGAACACTTTCTTAAACATCTCTTCCTGTTTTGCTCTCACCCTTCTTTGCTCTCAACAATAACCTACATATGTGTAACTATCACTGCGCTTGACCTCACTGGTTGTAATTTCTGTAATCTGTATCTCCCTCTAAACTCTGAGCTCCTTGAATGCAAAGATTATCTCATCTTGGTGCTCATAAGACATAGCATAGGACCTAGAATAAAAGAGGTGTTAAAGAAATTGGTGTGACAGCCACGGAAGGGATAGGTAACCCGGCTTCCTTTGGAAGGCGCCCTCCTCTCCTTCTTGATCCTGGTGCTCTTGCTTTACTGCTGCAGGGACCTATCCCGATGCCCTATGACGGTCCATTGTGTGACAGGCAGAGCACTTGATATGGGAACTGTGATCCACAGTCTAACAGAGTAGGAAGCACCAGAAGCCACCAGCACTTAGGAATATACAAGTGGAGCTTTGAGAACAAGAAAGAAAAACACCGGACCCTGAAAGAGGCCTGTATTGCTGGTTTTACAGGACAGCAGAGCTGAGACTGGCAATGTGTGATTCAGTGTGACTTCAACATAGGTTAAGTATCCCTTATCCAAAATGCGTGGCATCCACAGCATTCTACATACTAAATTTTTTCGGATTTTGGAAAGCAATATTTGCATTAAGATATCTCACGGATGGGGCCTGTGTCTAAACAAAAAATTCTTTTATGTTGTATACACACCTTACAGGCATAGGGTAAAGATAACTGTAGACAGTATTTTTAGTGCACCCGCGTTTTCACTGTGATCCGTCACATGAGATCAAGGATAGTTTTCTACATGGGGTGTCACTGTAACATTTCAAATGCTTCGGAGCATTTCAGAGTTCTGGGTTTTTACGTTAGGGACCCTCAACCTATAATAGCATGAAAAGGACCAAATAATAAGGGCCTTGAAGGTAACTCTCAAGAGCCTGAGTTTTATTGTGAAGTAGACAGCAAGACACTAACGGGTCTGACTCAGGAGAGAGATGTAATCAGATAGGTCATTCAAATACTAGGCAGGCAAAAGATAAGGCCTGAAACAGGGCAGCAAATAGACTGCAGAGGTCAAACCAATACGGTGGTTGTTTCTATGTAGGAGTGTGAGAGCATCCTTGAGCCAACAAAGACGCCCTGGTTCCTGTGTAGATGGCTGCCATTCACTGGTAAAGAAAGCAGGAAAGGGAGAACTTTTAAAATATATCCAGTAGGGCCTGCCCCATAGTATATGCTCAATAAATAGCTGTTATTTTGAAATAAAACAGAAGTTAAAAGACAGATTGCCATTTTGGGGTACTTTTCAACTGGAGCTCAAAATGGTAGTCTGGGTAAGGCTTGGTGGCACATGCTGTAATCCCAGTACTCTGGGAGACTTCAGCAAGCAAGATCACAAATTCAATCCCAGCCTGGCCAAGTTAGTGATTTATGAGGATTCCTTTCAAACTTTTTGAAAAATTGAGAAAAAAAATATGCAGGCAAGGTAGTGTACATCTGTAATCCCAGCACTGGGAAGGCTGAGGCAGGGGGACCACTCCAAGTTCAAAGTCAACCTGGTTTACATAATGAATTCAAGACCAACTTGAACTACAAAGCAAGACCTATCTCAAAACACAAAAGCAATAAATAAACAAACAAACAAATTTGGACAGAGCTGCTGATATACCTTAGTGCAAAGGCCCTGGGTTAAATTCCTAATAGTAGGGGTGGGAGGGAGGCAGTGGTCTGGGTGTGTGCAGCTAGGGGAGAAACCTAGAGTGATGTCAACCAGAAAGTACCTACTAGAGTAAAAACGGGGGTTAATTAAAGAATCCTTTTGTTTGTACCGAGGATCCAACTCCTGACCGATCTAACTCCCTGTCCCTGATTAAAGAATCTTGCAAGATCTAACTTTTCAGAGATGGTAGAGGAAGAGACTAAGAGGAAAAACTACTAGTTGACATTTTTTGAGCCCTTACACCAAAGAACTGTACTGGGTGCTTTTTTTAAAAATGAAAGAAAAATTTTTTTAAAATTAAAGAAAAGAAAAACGCGACTGTGTGTTTTAAGGAAACATGTTCTGGAAAGCAGGATGTTCCCGTGTACCATGGAGGGAGAGCCCGGGATTCTGAGGCCGAAGGTGCAGAGACCCCCACCCTCTTCCTCACTCTGGCCCTTGCCCTCTCGAGTGGAGTCTGCGTTAGAAGAAATTACTTTTATTAACCGTTAGCACAAGTAGGTGTAAGCTGCTGGCTGCTTCCAAGGACGCACTCTGAAAAAGCCAGGAGGGAGGACAGAGCAGGGTGGTGGATGCAGCATTCGCTCCTTATTTGGGCGTGAATGTTGCCTTCTGAAAAGGATTTATTTTGGGACAAGGCGTGGGCACCTAGGAGGCAGGCAGCGCTGGCTATCAGGCCGCACTCTCGGTTTGGGGCGGAGCCGCTCCGGCAGCCCCAGGCCTCCCGGGATCTTCCTCGGTGTCCAGCGGAGGCTCTGGCTGGGGCGCAGACTGCGGCTCACCCTGGGCTTCCGGCTGGCTCGCTCTGCTCCGGCCGGGCCCCAGGCGAGGCGGCTTCACGGGCGTGGGCGGGGGCGCTGCGGGGCCTTTCCTCCCCGAAAGGACCCTCCGCAGGTTCTGCACCTTCTCCAAACCGGTGCGCCGCAGCCGCCGGGCCCGGGACTCCACCGGCTCCTCGTCTGAGCTCTCTCCAACCTCGGCCTCCGGCTGCTCCGGGCCCAGCTCGGACTGGTCTGCCGGACCCAAGGCTTCGGGCCCTTTCTGGAAGGCGCTGGCTGGAATCTCAGCCTCCTCCTGCAAGTGACGACACAACACTGACCCGGGAGCCCCCTCCTAAGGACTTGCCTCAGTCATTCCGCAGAGGCTTCAGGGGAAGCCGCCCCACCCTGTAGGCGGCCGTGGGAGGTAGGAGTGGGGAGGGCTGCGAGTGAACCACACAAGTTTGGAGAGTAGATGAGGCCCTGGTGGGGCGCGAGACCTACAGTGGTGGCGTGCAAAAGCCGCAGGGTGCAGAGAACTGTCGCGGAATGCACTTCCACCCACGCTGCTTCCCTTTGGGGACGGGCAGGGACTTGGATCAACTCCTGCGGTCCCGCCTTAGCTGCAGTTGAAGGCTCCCCGGGCGGGCTCAAGCGCACGGGGCAGGGGTGGGGCTGCGATGAGAAGTGGGTGCGGCCCTGGTAGGTTGTGCCACAGTTTCTGGCGGCTCCTGGAGTCGGAAGTGTGGACGTGGGAGGCGGGTGGGAGGGGGCAGTCCCCAAGTGGTGGGCTTGAAACGGGAAAAGGCCCCAGACTGGGAGTAGGGGGCGCCTGAGGTCACTGACCTTAAACAGCAGGACGTGCAGCTTCCCGCGCGCCACCAGCAGCCCGTGGTTGGCCTCCAGCCGCTGTACCTGGGCGGCGCGGCGGGCAGCGCGCTCCTGGGCGGCGTCCGCGTGCGAACCCACGCGCTCCGCCTTGGCCAGCAGCTGTGCCAGCGCGTTGCTGGTGGTGTCGTGGCTGCGACTTAGCGCGCCCAGGCTGCTCTGGATGCGGAGCACGGAGCCCGCCAGGCCGCCCTGCCTCTGAGCCAGGCCGCCCTGCCGCTCGCGCAGCGCCTCCAGCATGGTGGCCAGCTTCTCCAGCAGGGTGACCACCGTCACGGCGTGCACTGGGCCACTGGCAGGCGTCCCAGGTGCAGGCCCCGGCTCCAGCGCGCTCTCCCCCATAGTCCCGACCCCTTTAGCTGCTCTTCCTGCGGCCGCTGGCTGCGCTCTGGACTAGAGCTGCTTTTCCCCCGGCTCCTCCCCAGCTCCCGCCGTGCATGACTCAGGCGGGAGGAGTTGGCCTTCTCGGGAGGGAGGGAAGAGAGCCAGGGGGTGGGATGTCGGCCAAGGGGTCCTTTGGAGCCGCACCAACTGCCCAGTCCGACTGCCAGGAAACAGGTTGCCCCAGCAAATCTGCCACCCCCAGCAAATCCTCTGCTTAGAGTTTGAGCGCCCCTCCTCCACACAGTTGCCTGCTGTGCCTCTTTCTGGAATGTGCCTCTTTCTCCCCACAGCAAAAGGCAAGTCACGGAAACTTTCATGAAGTGGGCAGAGAAACCGCTTGTGTTAGCACAGTAGAGGGATAACCGGGGAATCCACCGCCATCCACCCTTGACCTCACACGCTACTGGAGCTACAGGTTTTTGGGTGGACCCAGAGGCCCTGAAATGTTCTGCCACAGATTTTGCACCGTCTAGGCCCGAGGCCTGGCTTTGTGACTGACTACACAGGCTGAAAGTGTGAGCTGGCAGACGGACGTTCAATGGTATTTTCCTAAGAATCATCACCGGGGCTTGGCCACAAGCTTTGCTTTTTCCTGTTGAGTAGCATTATCATATTTTCTTTCTCTGCTTCTCTTGCTTTGTGTTTCATGGATGTAACTGAGCTGGGCCCAGCTCCTGCATCTCGAGATTGGAGGACAGGCAAGACACCTCTGCCTCTGAAACCACTGCAAGTGTTCTAGTAGGCAGGGGTCTTTGCCTTGATGTGGATTGGTTGTGGCTTCCCCACTCCATCCTTGCCCTCTCTAGAAATAGAGTGAAGCTTTGCTACTGTAGAGAGGGAAAGAGGGAACAGAGTCAGTTGATGTGAACTGTGAATTTGTAATGTTAGTTTGGAAAACATCTCAGGACTTGTGCACAGCAGACTGTAATCTGTAGTCCAAGCACTCTGTCGTCTTGGTGAGGTTTGTTCCTTTTCCTCTCCTCACCAAGCCTGTGAAGGTCACTTGAAAACAGCTGAAAGATAGTAACATAGGCCCAAAGGAACCCAAGGCCTGACTACACAGAAGTATGGAAATGCAAAGGCCATTACTTTGAAAAATATCTCTTATGATGCCAAGTTGGTTCCTAGCTTCTACACTGTGGTTCTAAACCATAGCACGATTTTTCCACTTGCCTTCCTTTGCATTGCATAGCAACAGGAAGTGCCATGCATGGATGGGCTTATGCCTGAGTTCCTTAATGAATCACTGACAAGAGAGCCAATAGAATATCTTTTAACAAATTAGGTCCACTTCGGAAACAGGGTCAGTTCAGCTTCCCCAGGAACACACAGGTGGTACACAAGGAAAAACATATATCTATATAAAAACCAGAAACTGCTAGGAATGGGTGGTTATGTCAGTAAGATTTGCTGTGATAATATACCTTAGATAGGGCTGGGAATTTAGCTCAGCGGCATAAATGCCTGCCTTGAAGCGTGTGATGGTGAGTTCAATTCCTGGTACCAAAAAAAAAAAAAAAAAAAAAGACCAAAAACATATCTGAGATAAACAAGTTAAAAAAAGGAAATAGGGCTGGGGATTTAGCTCAGCAGCATAAGCGCCTGCCTGGCAAGCACAGGGTTGTGAGTTTGATCCCTGGTACCAAAAAAAGAGGAAATAGACTTTGGCTCACAATTTTAGGGGTTTCAGTCAATAACTTTGACCACTGTACTGTGTCAAGCAATATATCATGATGGGAGGACCCTATAGAGCAACCAAAAAACAGAGGAAGGGGACAGGGTCACAAGATCCTTTCAAGGGCAAACATCCAGTGACTTAATTCCTCCCTTTTGAACCCCATCTCCCTATAGCACCACAGACCAAGCTTTTAGCACAAGAGCCTTTGGGCGACATTTAAAATCCAAACAATTACAGTAGTCAATCAAAGATATCTATTACATGAAGTCTACTACCTGAAGAACCATCAGCCTTGAGGAATGGGGGTGAGGAACCCTAACACACTTGAAAGCAAGAACTACTTGAACAAATATTTCTAAAGACTTGTTAAATTCCTCTCTGGATATGTGGAACAAGGACAACTTTGAAACTTAGCAGTACAGTCAGTGATGGTGCTCTAAGTCTCCTCAAATCCTCTATATCCATAGGAATTGGCTAATACTGGAAAATGGAAACTCACGAGGTACCTAAAAGTAACAAGGGACAGCACAGAAAAATGCTCTTAGTCAATAAATCCCTGAAAAAACACTGCAACAGAGAGAGACCTGGAACATGGAGTCTCTCGGAAGAAGCCACATTGTAGCTTACAATACAGGTGAGAAAAGAAGGTAGAAAACCAGGCTGCAGAATGATATATTTTCTTAAAAGATAAACTGAAGCACATTAGAAACTTTAAGAGTTTGAGTAAAGGACAGCTCACGAGTGGGGCAGCATGCAGAACCAAAAGAGGTTTGGAGAGCTCTACTGCGGCAGCATGGACAGAAGTTTATATAGACTGAATATGGAAGTAAGCATTCTTTGATTTGTTAGAGTGAAAAGTCCCTGATGAGAAGTTAATTTTTGATTTGGTTTGGTTTGGTTTTTGAGATGAGGGTCTTACCATGTAGTTCAGGCTGGCCTTGAACTCAATATACAGCTGAGACTGGCCTCAAACTTGGAGTGATCCTCCTGCCTCAGCCTCCAAATGCTAGGATTACAGGAATGCACGAGCATACCTAGCTACCAGTTGGTAGTTTCTGACTGGTAAAATTTCTACTTTTGTTTTACTCTTTACATTAAGCTTTTTTTTTTTTTAAGAGGAAAAAGAGAAAAACACAAAACAAAACAAAGCGGTGTAAGGGTACACGTAATACAGAACTACAAAAAAAAACATAACAGTAAGAAATCACCTGTTAATAGATTACATATTATCATCTTGAAAATAGTTGCTCAAATCACAGTATCAAAGAATACAAGGTGGACATTCAAACAGGGAGACTGCAAACAGCTGTGTTCAATGATCCAAAAACATTGATATAGTCAGCTATTTAACACCCCTAAACACACTTGCTGTTATATCCGTTAGAGCTCTTTTTCTTTTTTTTTCCCTCTCTTTTTTACAACAAAATTTACACATTTTGGATTTTATTACTCCTTAGTGCTTATTACTTTTTTGGGGGGAGAGAATACAGTCAAATATGGCAAAACAAAGCTGTCAGTCAATACCAAGGATAGACATAGCACATGGTGTAGAACAGAGTACAAGGTTATCAACAGTGGTTATCAACGTTGTCTCTTGTTTCCTTAAAAAGAATTGTCTATCTCATTAGATATTATAAAGTTGGACAAAACAGTAGAGAACAAGACCAATAAAACTTAGGCATTGTAAACATTACAGGACTTCCAAAGAAGACAATAGTCAAACCAGAATGTGCATCTTAGTGAATCTTATTGCCTTCAAAGTAGATGCCTATATCCTCAAACTTGATACTATCATACAGAATGGAACAGAGTCTAATCAGTCAAAACAAGATCGTGGGAGTATTACAGGACTTCAAAACAAGTTAATAGGAAATCAAAAAGAGTTACTATTTATATATCCTAATTTTTAAAATTTTTTCCCTTAATTAAGACAAACATAAGAAATGACTAAATAATTTTTTTTGAAAAGAATAAGGGGAAGATTGAGATAAAACAGTACATTAAGCTTTAATTGGCTTATGTAGGAACCCAAAGCTCTTAGAGCCATATGAGCCTAAAGGTCCCTTAATTAAAAGATTTTAATACTTAGAAGGCAATGTAACCTAATCTCAGTTTAAAGATTTCTATTGTATAAATCAGACATGTGGCCAGAATTTACTCCCTCAAACCCTAAGCAGAGAAATTAGAACCATATTGTTGTGGGTTGATTGTGTACCCAAAAAAAGTTACCTTCAATTTCTGGCCCCTGTTACCAGTGAAAACAACTGTATTGAGAAAATCTTTGCAGATGGAATCAGGTTAAGATGAAGTCCTGTGGAGCAGGTTGGCCCTTCATGCTGGTGTCCTCATCAGCAAGGAAGGGACATATAGACAGCACATGTGATGGCAGAGGCAGACATTGGAGTTAATCTGCCACAAACCACGGACACCTAGGGCAGACAGAACTAACAGAGATGAGGCAGCATCCTCCCTGATAAGTTTCCGAAGCAATGTGATCCTGCTAGCATGTGCATTTCAGGCTCTTGGCCTCCAATGTGAGACAATAAAGTTCTATTGTTTAATGCCACCTAGTTGTAATTTGTTTTGGTAACCCTGGGAAACTATGACAAACAGACCCCAAAGGGGCTTGACAGAATTTTTCAAATTAAAATACGATGCACATTTGTTAATATTTGTATTTTTACCGGTACCAGGGACCGAACTCACGACCACACACTTGCAAGTCATGATGCTTATGCTGCTGAGCTAAATCCCCAGCCCCGATGATGCACATTTGTTATGATTTGTGTCTACATGTCCCACTAAAGCCTCACACAGTCATGGGGGGTACTTTTTGGAGGTAGCAGAAGCTGGAGTTTGTGATTGGTTTGTCTAGTGCTGACAGTGGGAGTATGAGTGCTAGTCCTGCCCTAGGGCGGGTAACCTGTCCACAATATAAGAGAGGAAAAGAAGCCAACTTCCCCCTTTTGCTCTTGTTGATGTCTTCTGCCACGGTGAACAGTTGCCCCTCTCCCACACAACCCTGCTTTGGGGCAGCTGATTATGGACTGAAACCTCTACAAACTGTGAGCTAAATAAACATTGCCTTCCTTACTATTAGGCATCAGGTATTTTGTCTCAGCAACAAGAAAAGTAACTAAAACACCATTCAGTAGAAACCACACTTTGGCACTCAGGGAGGCTGAGGCAGGAGGATCATTGCAAGTTCAAGACCAGCCTGAGCTACATAATGAGACCCTGTCACAAAAAAGACAAAAAGAAAAAGAAACCATACTTTGTTTTCTGTGTTGTTTTGTTTTTCATTTTTTATTTTGAGGGGGCCTTTTAGAGTCTTTGCTATGTGGTCCAGCTGGTTTAAACTTGCTATGTAGCCCAAGCTGGCCTCAAACTCAAGACCCTTCTGCCTCAGCCTCCTAAGTACAGGATTATAGATCTGCACCACCCTGCCCAGCTTGGTGAAAGGAAGAAAGCTGGGGAGCAGATGAGAGGGGGGAAGAAAAGAAAAGGAAAGGAAAGGAGAGGAAAACAAAAAGGAAAAGGAAAGGAATCCACTGTACTTGTCCTCAGGGCTGGGCCGCTCTGGAATGTATCTATGTAACTGAAAGGATTTGGCCCAGAAGGGACACTGTTGCCGGTAAAGCCTCAGGCGGAACCAAGGAGCTCCATCTCTCCCACCACTAGGAATTTACCTGTGATCCTATCTTCCACACCCATAGGAATTTGTCCCTGGCACCAAATGAGTGCCAATGAGATACCTGTGCATCCCTAATGCCCCTCAGGCACCACCCCAACCTAAGCTACATGTATGCCCCCACTCCACGTGTTCCACAGAGAGATCTAAGATCCCAGGGGGGAGATGCCCCACCCCAGGGGGTGGGGGGGTCTCTCCCCACATTCTCAAAATAAAGGTCATTTGTATTTCATACTTCTTATCTTTTCAGCCGCTGTCCCCCACAGTTCTATCAGTAACAAAGACCTACCATCATGATTCCCAATCATATTGGTTTGAAACCATATAATGTTTTCACTCATTAATTGGAATGGTTTTAATCTGGGTTGTTCGATTTTAGTGTCTGTGACAGTACGAATAGCTATTTTGAAGAAAACAAGACATCATAATAGCTGGTGCTGATTTAATATCATCTTGTTTTAAAGTCCCATCAAGCTGTTGTTCGTCTGTTTCCATTAGTTTTAACATGTTGTATCTTATTATATTTTACTATATGTGATAGTATAAACAAAATTTTTTATAGGCAAAGAGATAATATAGAAACCCTTGTTCGTTTTCTGTTAGCTGGTTCTAAATACCCTGTAATTCTTGCATTCTCTTGAATGGCTTCACACTGTCTTGATATGTTTCATGCTATAGTATACAAAGTTATACTCAAATAATTCAAGAAAAGAGACACTATGGTGACTATTATGTCAGCTTATCTGGTGGTGAAACACAATGATGCTTAAATCGTTTGGTTCTGACCTGTGTTGTTCTGTTACTATGTCCTCTTTTATCTCAATCTTCCCCCTTTTTTTTAAATTTATTTTTTCTTATTTTTTTAATTAAGGGAAAACTAAATTAAAAAATAGTGGAATATATTATAGTAACTTTTTTGTTTTCCTATTAACCTGATTTGAACTCTGTGATAGCTCAGACCCCGGAATAAAACCCAAGGAAGCAAGAAATTAAAATTTGGGGAGCAAAGGCTTTATTTTAGGCCAGGCCTGGCGTCACAGTCTCTAGGAGCCAACTTGGAGACTGCGCGCCTTACAGCTAGAAAGGTTGGTTTTTAAAGCCGAAAACTACAGGAATGTTGCAAACTTTGACTCAGATAGCATTTGGTCCTTACAGAACTTCCTGTAATTTCCTTGAAGTTAAGCATTTCTTAAAGAACAGCACATTTTATTACAGGTAGCCGGATGAGGGGTAGGGAAGGGGGTAACAGGAAACTGATACCTAAGGCTTTTACAGCTTTCTCAGGAAATAGAAACTTAACCTAGAAAGATAGGAAGGGAAGGTGGGGGGAGGGCCTGAGTGGCGCTTACAGAACAGAAACGAGGCACAAGGGTTAAAACTAGGCTATAACAAACTCCAGTATTGCTCACCCCATCTTGTTCTGTCTGATTTTACTATATATATTCTGCTTTGTTTGATAGTATCAAGTTTAAGGGGATAGGCTACCACTTTGAATGCATAAGATTTACTATGATGCCCATTATGGTTTGACTGTTATCTTCTTTTTAAGTCCTATCTGATAAGATTATATCCAAAAGATGAGAATTATAAAACAAAAGAGGCCTTTATTCTGAGAATACGGAGAGAGAAAACCAAAACCCCCGACTGCTGGAGTCCTGCTTTCTCTCTGGCGGACACGTGGCGTGAGGGTATGTAAGTAGTCTCGGTTTGGGGTGGAACCTAAAGGGACATCAGGGATGCACGGGTAGCCCATTGGTCCTAGTTTGGTGCAATAGGTAAATTCCTAGGGGTGGGGGAGATAGGAGCTCCTTGGTTCCGCCTCTAAAGGCTTCACCGGTTACAGTGTCCTGTCTGGGCCAAAACCCTTTCACTATCAGGTCTCCCCTGTAGGTTATATTGGTCTTGTTCTGTACTGTTTTGGTCAATTCTATTATACCTGATGATATAGGCAACTCTTTTTAAAATAGCAAGAGGCCATAATGGTAACCATTTTTGATCACCTGGTATTCTATTTTTGCATCATGTACTATGCCCATCCTTCTGTTCTAACTGACTCTGTTTTGTTTTGTCACATTTGGTTTTATTCTCTTCAAAAAAAAGTAATAAGAACTGTGGGAGTAATAAAACCAAAAAAGTGTAATTGTTATTGTAAAAAAGGGAGGAAAAGAAAGTGTTCTAAAGATATAACTGCATGTATATTAAGTGTGTACCATAGAAAACCATATTACTGAGTTTTTGTTGGATCATTGAACAGAACTGTCTGCAATCTCACTGTATGAATGTCCACTTTGTATGCTTTAATTTTGTAATTTGGACAACTGTTTCTGAGAAGACAATATGTAATCTATTAACTAGGGATTTCTTACTGTATATTTTTTTTCTTGAAATTCTGTATTATTTGTACCCTCTTACTGCTTTGTTTGGGTTTTTTTTCCTTTCTTTTTTCTCTTTAAATAAAAAAAAAAGACCTACCTGCTGGAGGGTGGCCCTCTGCCTCCACCCATTCCAGGAGCATCAGGCAAGGTCATTTACTTTAAGTGAAAGCAGAGAGGTAACCTCTGAAAGAGAGAGATCAGGTTACAGTGCCTTTGCTTGTACTTCCTTGTTTTCTTTCTGCGTTTCTCAGTAGTCAGGTGCCCACTGTACTATAATGCAAAAATCCCCAGCCCTTTTTAACTTTTTTATTCTTGCTGAGTTGCCTGGCTGGGTTCCAATTTGTGATCCCCTACCAAACTTCCCAGAGTTCTAGGTTTACAGTGCCTGGCTCTGGGTGTTTTGCTTCATTATAATTGTTTTGTTTAGATTTCATGTATGAGAAAACATGATTTTGGTCTTTCTGACTGGTGTATTTTGCTTAATATAGAATTTCCAGTTCCATCTATTTTCTGCAAGTCACACACTTTCATCTTCTTTGTGGCTGAGTAATACTCTATTTACCACATACCACATTTGCTTTATCTATTTATATGTTCAAGGGTTCGTGGGCTGGTAATTGGGCCAAGATAAACTTGGGCATGTAGGTATCCTGCTAGCATATTGGCTGGTAGAAATGTAAGTTAGTGTAACTACTATGGAAATCAGAAAACTAAAAATAAGCATCGTGGTTCTTAACATCATATCCAAGCAGATGAGTGTGTACTTAGGTCCAGGGGCCATGAAGGATCCAGCAGATCGAGATTATCAAGAATTAGATGGAATACTAGCACTTCAACCTATGACAAGTTGTGAAACACATGCAATACCTTCCACTACAACAAAGAACAACAATTATTACATGTTTGGGCTTTACAGTCAGCCATCTTGGAATTTTTAGTCAAGAAAAAATTTTTAGTCAAGAGCCACACACCAGCCCAACACCTTGCATTTCTTTCACATTCTATATCTTTTTTTTTTTTGTCTTTTTCCTTTTTATTGGTACCAGGGATCAAACCTACGACTGCCTGCTTGCAAGGCAGGCGCTTATGCTGCTGAGCTAAATCCCCAGCCCCCACATTCTATATCTTGAGTCATCCAAAAACCCATATACTTTGACAAAGCCTGGTGGTGCACACCTGTAATCCCAACACTTGAGGCTGAGTCAGGAGGATCGCCTCTAGTTGAAGGCCAGCCTGGGATACAAAATATGATTGGATAAAAAGGTCTGATGTAATGCTGACAGACTGTGGGGGGAAACCCAGCAAGGCTGGTCTGTCAGCCTGTCTTGGTGTTTCTGTGTCAGAGTCCTTGCTCCTAGAAAAGACAGCAACTTTCCTACAGTGAGGTTCTTCAAGGGAGAGAGACAGATCTTTTTAAATTTTATAGCTTGCTTCAGGAGACAGGGGATCTGGTAGCTATCTATGACTTGTCTCAGGGAAGACCAATTGTGTTCTGTGTGA